GCTTGTAAGTGATAAAACTTGATTTTCTATAAATTATATAAGAAATAAACTGAAAGCAAAAACTTTAAATGCGTTTTTCGCGAAACTACATTTTTTTAATCGGCATAAATTTATTTCCCGTAACTACGAATTCGATTTTTCTCATTTTTTGTATGTAGGTTTATTTATCTGTTTGATAGCGTAATCCACCAGAAAATTGCAAAAATATGTAAAAAAATTTAGCTTGATAATAAAGTCGAAAACAAACATAAAAAATAATTTTTTTTCATATTGTCACCATTTTTTTAAATTAATTTTTTATATAAATATGGTGGATTATGGTATAATTAATCTTCCTTTTTAACGTTCTATATTTACGAGGTGTGATCAAAAAGTAAGGTGAATTTTTATTTTTCTCAAAAAATATTTATTTATTCATCAATTTTTATTTTATCTCCTTCAAAGTAATCCCCCTCGGATATAATGCACTTGTGCCAACGCTTTTTCCAATCCTCAAAGCATTTCAAAAAATCATTTTTTGTGATCTTGTTTAGTTCATCCTTCGATGCCGTCTTTATCTCCTCAATCGTGGCAAAACGCCGTCCTTTCATGGGCCTCTTCAGTTTTGGGAACAAGAAGAAGTCACAGGGGGTCAGATCTGGGGAATACGGTGCCTGTGGCATCGTTACTGTGTTGGTTTTAGCCAAAAATTCGCGCACAAGCAACGATGTGTGAGCAGGGGCGTTATCATGGTGCAAAAGCCAATTTTTATTTTTCCACAAATTCGGACGTTTCTGGCGGTTTCTTTCGCGCAAATTGCGCATAACTTGCAGGTAATATTCCTTATTTACTGTTCTACTCTGTGGCAAGAACTCATGATTCACCACGCCCCTGCAGTCAAAGAAAACTGTAAGCAAAACCTTTACATTTGATCGAACTTGGCGTGCTTTTTTTGGTCTTGGTGATCCAGAATGCCTCCACTGGGACGATTGAGTCTTAGTCTCGACGTCATAACCGTATACCCTGTTTCGTCACCTGTTATAACCCTGTTGAGTAAATCTGGATCATCGTTGACGTCATTCAGTAGCTCTTGGGCGATGCTCATGCGATGTTTCTTTTGGTCGAAATTGAGCAATTTCGGAACAAACTTCGCTGACACACGTCTCATGTCTAAAACACTCGTCAAAATTGATTGGCACGAACCAAATGAGATACCAATATCATCAGCAATTTCTCTAATGGTAATTCGACGATTTCCCAACACTATTTTCTTCACTTCTTCAACATTCTCATCAGTTGTTGATGTGCTGGGGCGTCCAGAACGAGGTTCGTCGTCGGTGTCTTCTCGGCCTTCTTGGAAGAGTTTATACCACTTGTAATCATTTTTTTGGCTTAAAGTAGACTCACCGTATGCCACTTTCAGCATTTCAAGTGTTTTGGAACATTTGATTCCATTTTTCACACAAAATTTAATGCAAACTCTTTGATCCATGTTTTTAGACAGCAGCAAATCATGGAGCACGCAAAACACTTCTAACCTTGATGCCTCTCACAAACAAACCAAACATACTACAAAGCTGAAATTTGGAACGTATGTTCTAGACGAGTGTACCGACATAACCAAATAAAAAAGTCGAAGATCGAACGGACGTAGCCCGCTAAATTTCAAAATTCACCTTACTTTTTGATCACACCTCGTATCTTTTGTTTCAGGGAAACCGTTTTCAAGAATAAGTTTATGCCATGGGACAAATTAATTTTGAAGAAAACGAATTTTATGCCCTCTATAAAATTATTATAATTATAATAAATTAAAAATTAATTTTGTTTTATGTTCTGTAACTATAAATGTATAAAAAATTTTATAAAGTAAAACAATAAAATGAGCGAAAACAAATATTAAAATAAGTGTCAAATTTAGCTACTCATTAAGGTACTACTACCTTAATGTAATGCTTCAGGTTCCAAACATATTTGTTATGTGGCTTCTGATTTTTCTTAATAATCCATAATTGAAAATAATACATAATTTTTTTCCAAAATGGAAAATACGCTTAGTGTGTATTTCGACAAAAGAATCGCCTTTGTACAATAAGATCCCACTGTGATTCGAATTCAAAATTTAACAAAATTTTTAAGAAGAATGACTTTATATTCACAATAGTTGAATAACTATTTTGAATATAAAGTCATTAAGTTCCAGTATTTAAGTTCATACTGAAAGATGCTTAGTATTATTTTTGTGGGTATTTATTATTCTTTCGAAATAATGAAATCTATGATTACGATACATCAGAACTATTCTTAACAGTAGAATTTAAGTGTTGTGGTAGTCGATCAAAATGATTACTTTGCTATTCACTAATTAGAGATATCGAGTAAAACTTATTTGAAAGAATTGTTTTTTGTATAGGTATCTAGTTTATTTTCTAAAGGAATTCTTATAGAAGATATGGCTGCTGAAAAAATTTGTTGTGAAAGATTGTAAAAAATCTGAATAATTTTATTTCAATTTCTTGATCATAGGAGTTATCCCTATAAATAACTACACTCTTGTTTTTCTTATAGGTGACAGCGGTGGGATTCGAACCCACGCCTTTTCAGACTGGTATAAGAAAAACAAGAGTGTAGTTATTTATAGGGATAACTCCTATGATCAAGAAATTGAAATAAAATTATCAAATATCAGGAGTGAAAACATAAGATATATTTATAAAAAATCTGAATAAATTTACAGAATAATAAAATATGATAATCTTGAATATTCGTAAAAGTTTTTGTTTAATTGTATTAAATTATCACAGTCACCGTATACCCTAGACTTGATCCCCTGTGACTTTTTCCTGTACCCAAAATTGAAGAGGCCCATGAATGGACGACGCTACGCCGCGATTGAGGAGATAAAGATGGCATCAAAGGAGCTGAGCAAGATCACAAAAAATGATTTTTTTAAGTGCTTCGAGGATTAGAAAAACATTGATACAGGTGCATTATATCCGAGGGGGATTACTTTGAAGTAGATAAAATAGATATTCATGAATAAATAAATTATTTTTTGAAAACATACAAAATTCGCGATACTTTTTGAACAGACCTCGTATGTCTTGTTTTTTGATGAAGCAACTTTCCATAACAATGGAATCAATATAAATCTCAGTATTGATCTATGAAGAATTGACATTGGTCCCGTGCAACTGATCATCAGAATCATTGGAGTGTTATCGTCTGGTTTGTAATTATGAACGATTATTTGATTGGATCATATTTTTTTAAGTAAATGTGAGCTCTAAAAGATACTTAAGATTTTTACATTATGAACTATCAATTCACTGTAAAAATGTTGATCTTTTAGCAAGACAGCGTATGTGGTTCCAATGAAATGGTGTGCTAACTCATAGGAGCAGAATCGTTCAAATTTGTTAAATAATCATTTCTTGCATCAGTGGATAGGAATCTGAATTAATATTGAGTTGTTCCCCAGATCGCTAAATCTTTCGCCTCCTGATTTTTCCTGTTGGTTTATTTGAAGAATATAGTTTATTCACTAACATCCAGAGAGGATATTTCAGCCTATTATTGATGTCTACAGGTATATACCTAAAAAGCTACTACTGGCGAATTTTGAAAGTTTCATGCATAGAAGTCAGCTTTATATCTCACACATTATTTTTTGACTCAATGGGCTGAGCTTTCGAGTCTTGCCTTAATTTGCTGGTATCTTAAATTTTACCTTAATCAGATGGAGTCTCAAACATTGCCTTAATTGGCTGGGCTATCGAGTCTTGCATTCACCTGTTAGATCATATTGGGGTCCAAAAATGTACCATTTTTCCAATGGTACATCCAAAGTAGTCCAGTACAACCAGAGCCGTGGGCTCTGAGCATTGGATATTCTACCAAGAATCGAATACAGTCAATAGTATAATCATTCATGAATGAAAATAATTATTTACATATTAAAAATTTTTTTCTTATCATTCTTTGAACAGACTACGTAATAATAATTCTCAGCAAAGATAAGTATGTAAATTGATATATGTGTAATAGATAAGAGAACAATTTATACTGCTTTTGGATGTAAAGCAACTCAACTTTGACGGAGAGCGCATATTACTGATTTTATAATAAAAAAAATAGATCATTCTCTTGCAAAAAAAGAAAAAAACTTACTTTCAAATGACTTTGAAGATGACCTTCAAGGTTAAATTGAAAAATATCATCGCATTGTCCTTTTGAAAATTCATGAAAAATATTTTATGTTTCATAAAACAATGTATCCCAAAAAAATTGTTCAGATGCATTTATAAAAATTGGACACTGTATAAGGAAAAATATCCACTAAATGATATATTCCTTTATATTTTACTATTTCGTTACAAAGAAACAATAAATCCATGGAAAACAAAATTTTTATTTATGCGTTCAGGGTGCCGGTCAGAAGAGGAAGAATTTTTGTTAAAAATGTTAAGACATTTTTTGTAACAAGTTAGTTCTTAATAAACCATATTTTTCCAGTTATGGTTTCACAAATATAATTTATATCTCAGAATAAATTAATGGAGTATATTTATGATAGTTTTTACAGCATAAATATATTTTTACAGCGTTCTTATATCGTGAAATTATTACAGCGTGAATATAATTTGAAAAATTTTGGAGATTTGTTCATATAAGGATGTTACACCCCCAGTGCAATCCATTTATCTACCTTCTATTAAAGGCATACGAATTAATATTAATATTATTAACTTAATTAGTCTTATTAATCTAATTAGATTACTAAGTCAATAACTCAATTTCTATATTTAATTGTCTATTATACTACAAAAGCATGAAAGATATGTATAAATTACATTAAATAATTAAACACTGCATGATTTAATTGGTTGATCTAAATTGGTTGATCAACCAAAATGACGTTAATTAGTATTTATTTCCTGTATTTACTGAAAACTCCAAAATTTTTATGTAAAGTTAGTATTTCTTTCTAAACTTACATATTTCCTTGTTTTATTTTTTAGGAAGAGCTTCCATGGACATCTATTTCATCTGATATAGATAATTCAGTATTGACTAATTCACCCGTTTCTTTTAAAAGTAAATTACACGAAGGACAGATTATAACTGGTCAGAAATATTCTAGAGTAATAGCAATGAATGAAGATATGGAAAATAGAGTCGATTCTTCTAATTATATACAATTACCATTTAGTCAGTCAGATGGTTTAAGAATTAGTACTCCCGTACCATCTTGTATGATGAAAAATTTCCATAATACTCACAACTCTTCAATTTTAAGTTTCCCACAAATCCAATCAATAAGATTTGTGCAAACAAATTTTCAAACCACATTAGAACACAATTCTTCAGAATCCATTAATAATATACCGACAACGTGCTCTCAGCTTCAGAGTTCATTGGAGGAAGGTAATTCCTCGTGTAGTAATGAACCACGTGACGAAAATAGTGTATTGAAACACCTCCAAAATATTCCGTCAAAAAATGCTATTCATGCGCAAAATTCTCTGACGCATAATACTGTCGTTTTTCAACAACAAAGTTTGCATCCGTTATCATCTCGCCAATTAATAACAACATTACAACAACATCATCAGTCACATGTTCCTTTAGTAATGAACGTGTCATCTAGAAATAATCGTACTGGTATACATAGTAATCATCGATTCAGTCGCACTGGAAATAGAGAACAAGTTAATAGTCGCTCTCGTAATATGACTAAAGAACCACCGGGTGCAGTAAATTTAGAAAGAAGTTATCAAATATGCCAAGCTGTAAGTATGATGTAAATATTCAATTTATAAATAAAAATGTATATTGAAAAATCTACAAAAACATTGATCTTTACAATAATAAATGAATAATTTATAATTTTAATAGAACTAACTTAAAAATACTATGCAATATCGATTCTGATTTTTTAATTATGAAAAATTGTTGTGTAGAGTATGTTGTTTAAGAGAACTGTAACAAAATATATATTAAACAACACCAATTAGTGCTTCAAATTTTGAAAATGAAATGTGTTTTAAATGCACTTATCAGAGTTTAGAGAGCTATATAGTTTAAATATTATATTTTTCTTTGCACTTTCAAAGTGTAATGATGGAAATATAGCTTGATCATTTTTATATAATATGGTAAGATAAGATTTATTTATTTTTTGCTGTTATACATTACCAAAATGAGATTATCCATTACTACGGTACTTGAGGTCATGAAATGTTTTCTCAATGTCATATTTATATACAGTAGTAAAGATACTTCGAGAACTTTTTGTTGATCTTACATCATAAAAATAGTTAACAATCTTAAATAATGTTCTTAGAAAAATACAGATAAGTGGGTTTATATGATCTAGTACATTCTCGTTTCTATGATATAGTTCATTAACGAGTTTGAGTTTTTTCATTTTTTGAAAATCTTTTCGTCATTTTAAAAAACAAACGTAATTTATAGTGCTTATAATTCTTGAATATTTAGTATTAACCTCATTTTTTTCTAACAAAGAATTTTTTTTTGTTTTTATTGTAGCGTTCGCTCTGTATGTACTGGACGCTCTTCAAAATCCGAGCGATTTTTAATAAGTGTATATTTAACAGTGCTGATAATAAACAGCAATAAAAATAGCAAAAACTTTTAACTGAATTCAGTTAACATGGCTGATATAAAAGAATCTGAAAAATCGGATGAAACAAGAAAAAAAACAGCAGGATAGAAAACAGTACAAAACAAAAGACCTAGAAACAGCCCAAAAGAACACAAACACACACATACATACATAAAGAAAAGACAAATCTTCTGTTCAAATGCTTAATGAGATCAGTGAAAGCTTGCTTTGTTCCAAAAATCATCATCTGTGATATTCTGTGAATTACAGCACCCCATGGTCAAAAATCTCTTTGAGATTCAAAGAGATTCAAAAATATATCGATATATGCAATGAATACAATGAAAGTAAGCTACTACAAAAATCATGAATATGAAAGGCTGTATTCCAAAAACCTGTAGAAAACGAAAAAAAAATTGTAATGATGATGAAAAAATCAAACAAAAACTGCATCAAAAATGGGAGACAATACGTGATTCAGCTTCTTATTCTCGTTAAAGAGATGAACTTGAGTATAGAGTAGAAGAAATCTTACGATAAAAGTTAAAGTAAACAATTTGGTAAAGTTGTAAATTTTGTTTTATAGACAGAAAAAATACAATACACGGTCGATTGCGGTACCTTCAAATTTCTTTATCCTTATAAAAGAATACCGAGGTTTGTAGCCTTCTTTATCTTAATAAACGTTTTTGTTCTCAGAAATGCGTTACAAACATTTAAGTGTATTTTCAGTTAGATATTTTTCGCCAAATCAGCAATTCATGGGTCGTATTTTATTTTATCGTAAATTATTTGTCAGTCATAACGAATCAATATTCGTGAAAGCGTGCTCATATACTGAAGTGCAATCATGATAGCGAATATAGAGCGCGAATGAAGAAAAGACACTTACTGAGGAATTCGGTCGAGAGAGATGAGTAAAAGTGTAAGAATGTCGCAACTAGGAAAAATTATAGCTTGAACTGACGTGGAAAAAGTACCTGCGAATTTCGATATGTTTTTCTTTCGTGTAAGAGACTCTTCTCTGCGATAACCACCATGCGATATTGATGTAATCTGCTGAGACCAGCGACAATATCCCAAAGCAGCAGAAAGGAAGATCCAGAGAGCTGGAATACTTAACTCAGAGGGGGTCCGTCGAAAGCTTGACTGTCGGGTACGAGGAATCTCAAGGAGCAGAATTTACCATACGAGCTGTTGCCTTTCGGATATACCAACGATAGCAGCTCCAGCAGTGAAATCCGAAAGTATTTCTTCGCTGACATTACCGATGGTATCGTCTTCATTAAGGACTCATAATAATATTTGAATTGTCTCTTGCTTCATTTTGCACTTATTTTCAACTACGCGAAATGTATGTGCGACAGCACTGGGAATATAAGCAGCAGATCACGGCTGCGGTTAGCGAGGAATAAATCATATCTTAACAGTGTTATATCCAAATTCGGCATAAGAATTAACCTAACTCGTCAGGCTTTCAAAAAAACCTATCATACGAGGGTGGTCCGATAAGTATTTAGCCTCATCGCCAGATGGCACCACTCTTGCAAAAGAAATATTCTATCACGTAGTACAACCTTCTCGATGGTTACTGTCAAGATTTCAGCCGGATCGGAGTTGTAGTTTATTTTTGAGAGCATGTGAAAGCAAGTATGCGTTGATTTTTGAAAAATGGAAAAAGAGCAGTATCGGTCGGTGATTCGATTCTTGTTTTTGGAAGGGAAATCGCTCAGCGAAATCAAAAAACGCTTGGATGTTATGTACGGTGACTCTTTTCCTTCGATGGCGACCGTCAAAAATTGGTTTAACGAGTTTCAACGTGGTCGCACGTCGATTTTTAAAGAGCCACGTCCAGGTGCTCCGAAAACGGCTACCACGGAGGATAACGTGACAAAAATTCACGATCTCGTATTGGCAGATCGACGATTGAAGGTGCGCGAGATAGCTAAGATCGTAGGCATCTCAAAAGACCGCGTGGGTCATGTCCTGCATGAAATTTTGGGCATGAGAAAGCTGTCGGCGCGATGGTTGCCGCGTTTACTCACTCCGGACAACAAGCGCAACCGTGAAACAACTTCAGAGCAATGCCTGACGCTGTTTAAGCGCAATCCCAAGGAGTTTCTGCGTCGTTGGGCCGATTCGACGTCGAATTGCAGAAAAAACGGCCCCATTTGACGAAGAAAAAAGTGCTCTTCCACCATGACAATGCACCGGCTCACACCTCCGCCGTCGCCATGGCCAAATTGGTCGAATTAGGCTACGAACTGCTGCCCCATCCACCGTATTCTCCAGATTTAGCCCCGTACGACTTCTTTTTGTTTCCAAACTTGAAAAAGTCACTCGCCGGGCCGAAATTTGAGTCGAATGAGGAGGTAATCGCTGCCACGGAAGCCTACTTTTCAGACCTCGAGGAAACGTATTTTTCAGACGGGTTAAAGAAGTTGGAGCATTGCTGGGCGAAGTGTATCGAACTAAAAGGAGACTATGTTGAAATATAAAACGCCACTCTTCCAAAATTTTCGTTTTTCTTTTGTAGGCTAAGTACTTATCGGACCACCCTCGTATTAGGGTAAAAATACGATTTTTAGCTGTATTTATGGTGCTCTATTACCACCAATAATTTTTTTTAAACGAATAGCCCCGTTTTGAAGCAAAACTCTTACTCTAGAAAAGCCTGTCCCCAAATTTTATACATCTTTTCTTTTTAATAAGAAGAGGATGCAGACAGGTGTTCCTCTCTGATTTTCTTGAAACTTTACACATCAATAGATAATAGAAAAATCTTAAATACGCGTTTTTAGCTGCTGATACGATGATTAAGGGAGTTAAAATGACCCCTAAATTTTACCCCTAAATATCGGCGATAAAAAACTTTTACAGATATTTTCATTTCCAATCAATATTTTTGAACCAAATAAAATTATTTTTAATAACCTAATAACTCAATAAAGGGTAAAAACCGCCCATAGTTTAGCCCTATACGTTTATCACCATTAAAATACTTCTACAGATAATTTCACTTCCAATGAATATTTTTGTACCAAATAAAATTATTTTTATTAACCCAATAACCCAATAACCCATTAGTAAAATTAACTTGAGTTTGTTTGCTTTCCTTATTTTGGAGGGGGTAGAATCGTATTTTATCAAGTATATTTTCGTAATATAAATTCAAAACTTATCTCAAAATAAATAAAAAAAACTAGTTTTACAATTGTCTAAAGTTTTTTTTTTCTTACAGGTCACGAGTTTATCATGAAAATTTTTAAATTAAACCTTTAGAGGACGGTGATTTGGAATTTTTAACTGCCCAGTATTTTCTATAGAAAACGCATAATAAGTGTATCAAATATCGGAGAATACTCACATATGAATTGGCGATCGATGGTCGAAAGATTATAGCGGCTTTACCGATCTCAGGGGTGATGCTAATTTTGATACTTTGAAAAATTGTTTTATTTGGCACAGGGAGTTAGTACCTGGTTTTGTTATGGTTCTTTCGCAATTTTGACCTTGGAATTCGATTCAGTCTTGAAAAGTGACTCAGAAACTATATTCACACTCCCTTACTATAGAAAGTTTATTTTCGCGACTAAAATTATTTTAGGGTAATTTTTGACTAGTGACATCAAATTCGTAATTAGTATCTTCAAAAACTCCTGTATTAACCTATTCTCCAGACTAACTTGAAAAATTATTTCGAGCCACTACAGTGGTTTTCCCGCCCTTTAGAGGTTAAGGTGGTAGACTCAATACGTTCGACGAAACTTTTTTAAAAACTTTTAATTTCGATAAATAGTGGCTTTTTGACACCGCTGAATATTAATTTATAACCATATTTCCAAAATTCATAACATTGAATCTAATATGGTCGAAAAAATTTACAATGAGAGTAAGATGTGGAATTTTCACAGAAAATTTTTACAGATAATTTTATATGAAGAAAAATTAATTTTTATTTATTTTTATTTATACGAGGACTGTCCGGAAAGTATCGGGTCTACCTTTATATTTTCGTGCTAGCGTTATTCTTTATCATCTGGTGGGTGGCATCCTTCAAAGTAATCTCCACCTGATTGAATAACACGGTTCCATCGATGTTCCCACTTTCAAAACAGTCCTGGAACTCACTTTTAGGGATAGCCTTAAGTACATTCGTCGCAT